GAAACACTCAAGGAGGACCGAATAATGGATTCACAAACGAAGAAACAAGGAACTCCTCGGAGTCAAATCAATGAGGTCACAACCGGAACTCGGAAGGACAAAGGTCACTCCAACATCGACTAGACTACGACGGCGAGGGATGTCAAGTTCAAAAGTCACGTGGGGATCGGCGAATGAGGACACGGGATAAAAAGAACAACCAATGGAACCGCCCGACGGAATAACTAATCGCGGTCAAAGGTCATCCTCGGCTACCAGCACGTATATCAACACACACGTAACACTACTGAACGCACAACCACTAACCCACCGCTACGCACAACTACGCACTGATGATGTCACCTCGATTGGTGATGAAACGTTTGCAACCAAATTGCCCAGCTCAGCGAACAAGCCAACGACCATCACGCCACCTGAGCTACCGCCATTCTCCTCTATGTATATCTTTGTAATGTACTACTCATAAGGTTGCTGAAACTCCATCGACAGCTTCCGACCGGTTTCGCCCTTCTTGGGGCTCATCTGGTAGGCGCAGTCCCCGGGTTTCCGTCAACCTTATGTTCTACTTGAAACCAAATTGCACGATGATGCGAATATACACTCATCTGCAAACTAATTTGGTTCTTTCGAGAGACTCACCTGGAACGCAGCCTGGATAGAACGGTGATTTCCTTTGAGCCACACATCTTGTTGTTCTTCGCTTGTTCAGATTATGCTGTGATTTCCATGCTATTTATTGATTTTGGATAACACTGGAAGACCGAAATCATCGTTGCTTAGTTTATAACTTTTCCATCTCTCCACAGGGACGTCTAGAACATTTGGACCCTCTTGAAATGGCTGGAGCTTCTTCTGAATCGGAATTCGAGGCTCGCATGTACGAGTTGTCCATGGCCTATGAACCTCGGGATAGCGAACCTGTCCCGGAAAACCTCGTTTCTGCAATGGTTAGTTGATGGTCACTTTCGTAACCCGTGTTGTAAACAGTGCTTCATTATCTGTTTCTGCCCCCGTTTTTTTAATATTCTGTGTGATGTATCCGCGTTTCACTGATTCTTCGTGGTCAAACGGTGGCACGTGAAATATTGATCCGTGAGTGTTAGTCGGGATTTCGACTATGAAGAAGCTGCACCGACCACGTCATCACGCTCCGATCCCTACATTCACACACATGGTGTACATGGTGAGCTATCTTAAGGCTTCCCGCATCTTCACCATCATCATCATCATCATTGTCAGCTGTAACAACCGCGTACTTGTAGTACAGTGGTTGATTTTAGGAGGGCAGTTAGCTACACATTGGAGGAGGGAGCTGACAGACTGGTGCGTAAATACAGCATTGTCAGTGGACTGTCAATTGGGGGGATTAGGAAGGGAGCTATGCATTGAAGATAATAGCTCGGATGCACGAGCGCCATTGAGGGCGTGACTGGACCATATCTGACAATGTCTCTAACCATTGATGTGGCCCCTCTCGCGGTCCCCATCAAGGAAGACGGCAATGACCAGCGCAACTGATTTTGCTGGTACTGGCTTCCATACTCCGCTGCCAAGTTATTGTTTGACCTCCCTGGCTCGTTTCCACCGTTCTCGTGGTTGTGCGAAAAGATCATTTCGAGGAAGTCGGTCGACTGGCATACGCAGCACGTGGCCGAGTCAGAGCAACCTATGCAGTCTGATCAGTTCATCCATCGAGGGTGAGTTATTTCTTCCGAATACTATTCGATATACTTCAGCAATTCGGATCCGGTGTTCCCACCAGACTCGGACAATCCTTCGAAGACATCGATGGCCAAACACTGAAGGTCTGTTGACGTCCTCGGCGGGCAGCGGCCAGGCTTCTGACGCGCATCGTGATACGGAGCGCACCGCAACATTGTAAACTCGACCCTTGGCAGAGAAGCAGATATTACGCCTACGCCACAGGTGACGCAAGTCCAAAAAAGCTGCTTTGGCTTTGCCAATCCGGATGGAAATATCATCTTTCGCGAGACCACTGGGACTGATACAGCTACTTAGGTAAACAAATTTGTCTACTACCTCAATCGGTTCCTCAGCAAGCGTGAGGCTAGGTTTCGAGCCCACCCAGTCTTGCAGTAGCACTTTACACTTTGTAGGTGTGAAGCGCATGCCAAACCGTGAGGTGAAATTATTTACATTATTCAGTATTGTTTGCATTACCACGGGGTCATATCCAGGAAGAGCTATGTCGTCTGTGTAGTCGATATCTGTGAGCGGAAGCCCCGGGAGCACTTTGATCCTACATGCATTAGAGGCTGATGGTGAGTCTTTCATGGTCGTATAAATGATTAAGTTGAACGGGAAGGGTGAAAAAGGACAGGCCTGTCTGACACTTGATAAGGTGAGCTCAGAAGAGAGCTTCCTCAGGAACTTCACACGGCCGCAGGAGTGGGCCTACAGCGTCATAAGGAGGATCAAGAATTTATGGGGGACACGTTTGCCCCACAGGCAATGCCATATTGCCTGGCGGTCCACAGTGTCAAAGGCAGCTTTTAGCTCAAGAAACATAACGATTGTTGACTGCTGGAAGCAGTTTCGCTGTTCCAGAATCTGTCGAAGGGTGAAGATATGATAGATACATCCTCTTGCAGGTCCGAACCCAGCTTGGTTTTCACAGATCTGTCTCTCCGCGTTCGGTCAGCCTTCGAAAGATAAGGCCAGAGAGCACCTTCGATGCCACAGCTATTATGCTGATGCCACTGTGGTTTTCACACAGTCCGCGTGCCTTTTTTGGAGATAAGGATAAGTGTCGACATGCCCCGATGTACAAGCACACCCTCTTCGTTTTATATAACACTCATAAGCTTTTCAGATGGGTCGCCAGGGGTTCTCCGCCTTCTTCCATCCGTTTTTGTTCAACTTTCCTAATTAATGGAATAACGAGGAGAACGGTGGAAGGTCTCTAAACCCCTAGTGTCCAACTCGTCGTTAATCTGGAGTACGTGGACAACATCATCGGTAGCATAACATCATTGTCTAACACTGATGCTTCACCGCGGGTCGCCCATAATTTATTTGAAAGCCTTATCGTGAGAAAAATATCGTGGATGGGGAAGGGACTCAGTGCTAGCCTAAGGCAATCATTGCAGGCATCCATTCAGGCAATGTAGCTAGAAACTGACAAGAATGCCGTTGACATCGAATAGCTTGAGCGTCTCCAACCATAAACAATGGGGATCACGCAGATGATATCCCGATCTTTGAGGATGAATGCGAAGCACGAGCTCCGTGATTCAAAGTGATCACCCTAATACCATCTTTCAGCATGCGCCTTGCACCTTCAAAAGTTCAAAGTCATGCTCCAGGACCTACAGTCTCTGAGCATCTCTTCGCCATCCAAGAGATGCATTTGAGTTTGTGGTGAATTTTGCGTAACTCGGTGTTTGTATTTATCTTTTGCGGAAATGTGTCTGATGAAGTCACTCCAATTTGCGGAGCACGACTGGTAATTTGGGGTCACTTTAGCATCGAAAAGACACGTTGCTGGGTTTCATGGGTCGAGTTTAGCAGACTAAATTAGGGACTGCATTGTTGAATGGTTGTACGTCATGGCATCTTCTGACATATGATGTAAGGCGGCTTCAGGTTTTTTACCACCGATATCTCAGAAGTGTTGCTGGTGTCGGGTTGCATCGACGAATTCTTAACGAGGTCATCGGAAAGTGGTTGTGTCGTTACCCGGTACTTCAGTCGCGGGAAACATCCACCAACGTCAACTGTGGTGGCTTGGTCATATGCTTGAATGCCGCAACACTGTCTACCGAGACGAGCGTTGTTCTTGACTCTTTCAGAATGGCTCAAGCCGTGAGGTGGACAACGTATGACATGGCCGAGGGGTATCAAAGAGATTGCGAAGGGTTTGGTTGCTGTTAGCGCAGTCCACCTCCTGCGCTTGACTGGTGGCTAATCAACGTCAGCAAGGTTTGTGCTGTCAGCTTTATTCAAGATTCTCTGATTCAGCCCCTGTTGGTGTAGGCACTTTAGAATACTTGCGATAGACTAGCACCAAGTCTCTCTCATCCACTCTTTTCCCTTTAAGGCTTTAAATAGGATTAGATGATGAACATTTTGGTTGTACAGTAGTGAAGCATAGTGTCAAAATTGGTGTTATCTCTGCTAATGCCCATGCCACACCTGTTTGATTCTGTGGCCTGTCGGCATGCGCATTCTCCATAGTGGTTATCACCCGATAAGTGTCTACAGTAAAACCCCTTCACAACAACTGCTGATTTGACAGATGAATAGCGTGAGGTTCGTCGCTAGAGGAATCGTAGTTACTCGATGCTTCTTATTGAATTTGAATTTTAGTATAGAATTCATGTTCGCCCTTGAGTCCTACCGAATGCACAGCGTAGCTGATAGCTTGTGAGCCAATTGGCTTCACTTGTTTCTCCCATAAGGATTCATGACAGGAGTTCGATGAAACTAATAAAACCCGGTCACCAAAAATTAGTTCGAATGAACTACTGAAGTTCTTTTTGTGGTTTGTACTTAGGTACAGGTGCACGCTAACTTCTGGATTGCAGATGGAACTGGAAGTCGCTGTCGACCTCGATGTTTCATTTCAACCTGAACGTATATAATTGTACGCGATTATCAGATTATTACACATCATTTTAGCCAAACACCGAAGCAGTCCTCACGTCGCCGTCAACGATAAAGATCAATTGGTGCGCAGTCAGGGGTAGCGTCACTTCGTGTGCAGTTTATTCATATTGCTCCTCACATACGCGAAATCCAAAGACCGGTCAACTTGTGGCTTCGTCGGAACTCGTAGATGTATCTGATGTGAGACAGATGATTACATAGAATTACTCGCAATTCATTCATTCGAACGCTGGAGGCGGAAAACCGACCCAAGGTTTTTCAACCATGTATTCTAGCGCAGTCGATTTCTGCGAGATGTGTCGTTTCCATTAATTTTCCGGACAGGAGCTGTCCGCGCATAACAAAGTCCGAAATCCACACTGATTTGTAGATGCTATCTATCCTCAAACGTAACTTGCACTGGATAAACGAGTTTCATACCTACCCATCAAGTTACTGGTTGTCTGCCCATGCCTTTTGAATTGGGCTTGTAAATAGTGCAGGTTCATCTGTATGTTTAATTCTTCATTAGAGTCAGATGACCGATCTGATTTTTCTACTTCCTGGCTCATCATCCTGCATTCACCTGTCTGGGGTACTCATTAACTTTCTAACCCTTGAATCACAGGATCGTCGCCTGTCCAAAGAAGCCATCGAGGCCTCAAATTTACTGTCGACTCGTCCATTGAAAGAGCGTATGTCGCTTCACTCGATCTTCATCTTCGAGGCAGCCATTCATTCTGCTTCAACCCGTGGGCGTGGACCGACGAAATCTCAGTCAAGACAGAGATCTGTGGCGAAAACAAGTTCCTCGCAGCAATCAACCTGCTCAGTAGATTCCTTTGAACAGAGTTCATACCCACTGCAACCCACGCCTCATGTACAACATAGATATCTCCCATTACCCAATTCAGACGTTGTTGGTAACGCTTCCAGCATACAATCTTCAACATCACCAGGTACGTGGCTATTTTAGTGTAACTTTTAGGTTCAACTTGGTAAGACTGTCTAGAGCCGATTCCTCAGCAGGATGGTTTACCTGACAGGAGTGTACTACATTTCGTGCACAATAAGTGTTTCTGTTAGTTGACGATTTTTGTTACTATTTGGACGAACAGATAGTCACAATCATTTCCCGGGGCGAACATTCACAAACCCATCCTTCCTCGAGGATTGCATAACCGTGAAAATGCCATTGTCGCTTCGGTTTGTTAACCGTCACCTCCAGGCCACGGCACGAAGTACCTACTGGCCCTCTTGCTGCTTGTATTCTGCGTCCGACTGTCTCCATTCATTTTAAAGTGGTTGGGGGACGGGTTTCCTGCCACCATATACCACGGACGTGAAAACTCCGTCGTTGTTTCAGTACGCCACTTGGGAATGGGAAGTTTTTGTTATATCAGTGGTTCCACTAGGCCGTTTTCACCTCAGTTTTACCCCATCTGAGTAAATACTCTTGTTGGATGCTTACGATTGTTCAGCTACCATGATGTTTTTGATGTGCAATGTGCTTGTCCCAGGTCACGTTTTGCATCATGCAGATATTTCGGATGGTTCCATCTCAAACTGCTTGATTGTTTTACTTTCGCCATAGTGTCTAACTCTCAGTTCCCACTTTTCGAGTTTCTCTCTGTCCCATACCTACTTTTCTAATTACTGTGATACGTAGCAAAGACAGTTACGCTGAAAGTGACCTAGTCTTTTGATGAAGAATCAGAATTTCAGCAAACTAAAACCAGTCGCCCACGCACTAACATGATGCCGATTAACAAAGGGTCCTTCACTCCTTACTGCTCTGTACGTCCAAAGATGGTGCATAACTTATCTCAAACGGTTGCACCACCAGCTGCCATTCATCTGAACGTGGAATTGCTATGGCCTCCGAGGTTTATGCATATGTTCTCTCAATCGCCATTGGGCTCCCGGTCCAGGTGACCTCTCATCTGCATTTTTCAAAGATGGAGTTGAAGTCTTCAGTCAGAGGTTGTATGATCTGTTTACCTGCATTCCGGAAAGGGAGATTGTCGCAGACGACCGGGGAAAATCCGTTATGGTGCCCGTTTTCGAAAATGGGCTCGTAGTGACTGTGACAGCCATAGGGATCCGGAAGTTTGTGAGCATAATAAGTTCTTTGTATTCTCAGACTTCCGTGAGTATACGACGAACCCTCCAAAAGATCCCGTACACAAAGCGATGTCCGTCAGATTTTCCCACTGTCTCCGTTCCTATGTGATTTCGTGATTGACGGGATGATGAGGTGAACGCTGGAGAATCTTCAAAATTCTGGTGTTCGAGTAGTTACGGACGGGAACCTCGTTGAACTGGAACTTGCAGACGACATGGTTCTTGTCTTCAAAGAGGAGAAGGCGCGTGTTTTTGTGGTCAACTGATCAACGTCATCCCGTCCTTTAGGATTCGCATGATCCACAAAGTGTATGGTCGTACTCCTGGACATGCAGTCACTGAATATACCATTTACAATTCAGAGCTAGACACTCGAAATTGTGGAGCTTTTAACGTATCTTGGAACTTGTGTTTGATTGTAGTGTGACAGATGAGGTCGATGCACGAATCTGCAAGGCTCGGGTCGCGTTTACCAATTTGAGACGCCTACGGCGTCAAAACCTGAGTCCCAAGGGACGTGTGTATCAGGCTATAGTGTGGGCTGTTTTGTTGTATGGCTATGAGACAGTCTGTTCGATCAGCGGAAATCAGACGTCTTCAGATGTTTGACAATCGTTGTTTGAGGACCTAAGCTCGTTTGGCTTGGTGTTGGCGGATCCGTAACGAGGCTATTCGAGGGGATAGCTCGGTTTTGCAACAGGGACTTCCATTGAAAGATGTCTTTCTGAACGGTCATTTGCTGAGGAGAGTGCTGTTTTTCTGTGCTCAATGCAGAGTGGCGAATGTACAGATATAGCAAACCGTTGACCTGACAGGAAGGGAGTATGAGATATTGCGAAAAGTCTAGGTGCCGTCTGTGCGACTCCCCTTCATCATCGTTCATGCCTTTACGCGCATTATTTAGCAAATGAGTGCTTTGGACCACTGACACTGGATGACAAATCGCGTACACTTTCGAAACGCCACGGTCTATCCTTATTAGTATGGGCAAAGATTTCAACCGATATCCACTGCAATCAGATTTCCGGTGAATTAAGTGGTTGTCGAAGTGTACTCGGTCTCGTTGTGGTTGCTAGGACCCTGATTTTTCATCTGGTTCCACCTGATCAAAACTAACAAAGATTAAATTGGTTTTCGCTGACGCTCTTGGAGACCAGCATTAGTCACCTAACCATCCTTTTTCTTTTCCGAAGTGCATCATCGGTGAGGTCAAATTCTAGCGGTCCCCATTTTTTTATCAGTGCACGTTTGCTAGATAGGATATTCTGCATGAGCAAACGCCCTACCGAAAAACGGATTTAATTTTAGAGTGAAACGGCTTCATTTGCAATTAGTTTTATTTGAGAGGACTTCTCTTCACTCACTTACTACTTTGTTCGAACTCGTGTCACAATAAAATGGATGTCACGTTCAAGGATATTTTTCTACTTCCCAAGGGCTGATCAGTTAAATTTTTATAAACATTCATATTCCAGTGAACCTAGACTAGGGATGAAGTATTCCTTTTAGGGGAACACTTCCCTACTGAGTACACAGCATAGCGATGTGTGCGACATTTAGAAAGGCGTTCGTTGAGTAATTGTGCCATATAGGTGAGTTATCGAAATTCGGTGACAGAGACTGGAGGAAGCAATTACCATCATCGTCAAAGAGATTCAATACATGTAAATGTTCGTACTCAGTTTGCCTTACCTAAGCAGGTCAGCTGGTGAAATGATCAATGGGGTAGACTACTCTGGACATGTTAGCTTAGAGTGTTGTTAGGAAAAAGGCCTTTATCGGTAATTTGTCTCACGAGGCAACTATCTTGATCGATCTTATCGCTGGTCAAGTAGATGTTACTAAGGTGCTCGCTGATCGACTAAACATTCTGAACTACCAAGCTTCTCCTCCCTCTTGATCACTTCCGCCAATACTCACGTTTTGATTGGCTGGGACTTTTTTCCTCATTATTTTAGGCGGAATTCATCAGCACAGTATGTCCGACAGTTTGGTCCTATCTTCTCCCAAACGTTTCCCGTTGAATGTCAGTTCGCCTTCATATCATCAACAGACCCTTTCCGCCGTCGATATGCTTAGTCATCGAGCACTAGATTTGTCGCCTCCTGTCACACCACTTTGTACAGCTAATTATTCCTTTCATGGTTCTGCTCGAGCTCACTCCAGCCTCCCACCTCCACTGCCTCCTCGTAAGTCTCAAACAGCCGGCGTTACAACGAGGATCGTTCACAGCCCGATTCCTTTGGGTTCCACTACCGATACGACTGTCATGAGTGCTCCTACTACGCCGCATGCGAAAAGTGATTCAGACCCGCGAACACTTCACATCGTTCAGGGTGACTACTCTCCCCGTCCTCCGCCACTTCCTCCAAGAATGTCAGGTTTGAATCGTGCATGTTTGAATCAGCCCGGTAAAAGTGGTCGAACCAGTGCGTCTCCATCACCCAATTCTGAAGGTGCATTCGTTTTCAACCTAGAAACACTTGTGAGTCCCAATTATCAACCAGACAACATACCACCGCCTTTACCGCCCCGTCGCACTACTTGCAACGCAGTTAGGCCTCGGAGTAATGAAAGATTAGCAATCGCACCAACTTAGTGCAATCCAAATCACACCTAATCATTCTTTTTGTACATACCAAAGCAAACCTATTAAATGTTCCGTACGGCGGTATCAAAACTTCCTTCTCTTGAACACAATAGTGTTCATTATCCTCGCTCATGTGTGTACAGCAAAATAATCATTCATATTCCCTTCGTTCAAACCACTTTACACAAACTGCGTATCACCCGCGCTTGAATGGATCGAAATAACTTCAGTTCTTTATGTCACTTGGTTTAGTGCTTTCCGCAAAGCTCAAGTTGTCTCGAATTATCTGCAATACTTCACTTTTCGTACTGTCTGCTGTTTGTAATTGGAACTCTTCTGGTCACAGTCGATATGTCCCATCGTTTATTACTTTATTTTCTGCGGTATTTTTCTTACTCGTTATGCATCTGTCACATTCGAACAGACAGTGACTGCTCATACATTTTGACCGGTGTTTACAGCCTAATGTCCCGGGCCGTGGAGCGCTTGTGACTCTGCAGTAATGGCAGGCCCTGTGAATGGCTGACCGTCAATGGGTCAATGAATTGTATTTCCCTTGTTTGGGATTCTTTGTATGTATGGGCGTATGCTGTGGCTTTTAACGCCAGCAGGGTTTTCACGTACATGCACTTAATCGACTTCCCATTTGTACATTCAGTGACTTGCATTATCATTCAGTGGCGCCACTTCTCTGAAGCTCTTCATTTTGGTCACCGGTTTCAAATATAGGCCTATTACCACTAACCACCTAGATGATTTTTATGTTAACTTTCATAGCCGAAAGGATCAAAGGAGCATATTGGTTTAGGTCCAAAGAATGCCAGGCCTTTCCTATATGGTTGACAGTAGCTGTGAGATTAAGAGAAGCGCCGGATTCAATGTTCGGATGAAGGTCAGCCAAGATAAATGGAATACAGCCTTCGATCCCGTAATTCTCTTCCAGCAGCTTTTGAAGGTTTCGTACTCAATGACACTTCTAATGCAAGCGTTTGGCTATTTTTAGATGGAATTTTCACTCAAACAGCCAGCCAGTACGTGACCACGTGATGTGCTCTAAGTGACTGAAGAACGAGCGGCGATACATCCTGTTTAATTGCGAGTTAATCACACTGTGGATCAGCAGCTCATGGCGGAATGGTTATGTTCAAACTACTGGTTGGGGGTCGCCGATTTGAAACTCCCTGGAGTTTCATGGGATTTGCACTGATTCTCAATATGATGAAATAGTTGCGCAGTGCTTCTCGGCTTTTCAGCTTAACTTGGTTCCACTTAAAGGATGAAATCTCAATTGATGATTACCAAATGCTCTCCCGCTACCAACAATTTACTACGTTCGCTTTGAATTTGTTGAGGAAATGTTTAGTTGGGAAACCTTAAATCACTCTCACTTTCTGAAACGCAAATAGGTGGCTATTTTTAGTGAGTTCTGGAACTAGCAGGCTCCTGAAAGCTCTTCGACACCCGACGACCGGCTCCGCCCTTGTAGCTCATCAGGTAGGTGCAACCCCCTGTTTTCTGTCAACCTTACTACCTGCTTGAACACCAAATTGTACGCAACTGGCGAACTACACTCATTCGCAAAGTAGGGATATTGTAAAGAGCGATGCATTTCGATTTCAGTTGAGTCGTCCCTTACCATTAAATTAATCTGTGAATGAGTACATTTCTTCATTTGGGTTTTGCGTTGGCCCTTGGTACAAAGTCAGTTACCATTATTCTCTTCCAGTGAGTTCTGGGTTCTCTTCGGTGTTTGCAGATGTTTCTACTCGTTCACCTTACTGGCTCGCTTCACTGAAATACCTACTGCCTAGTGCACTTTCAGACCACGGTCTGTGAGCGTGGAGTCAAAGCTTCAGTGAAAGGATTAGGTTAATCAAGCTATATAGGATCTAAACAGTATAGCGCGAAAAGCTGACTCCAGCTAAACATCAGGTGCACATCCTTATCTTGAAAAACAATATCTGCATGATTTGAGTATCATAATTTTCCCTCTCAGTGTAAAAATTGTTCCTGTCTGCTGCTGACTGCCGGTTGTGGGACTGGGATAATTGCGAATTTCTGAACTTTTTCAACTATACCAGACGCCCCCATCCTTCAGTGTTGAGCAGTCTACTTGGTTTCTTCTGTTTGTATTTCGAGTCCCAACAGATCATAGAGTCGATCGCAAGAGATGATGTTCCAGAACCCAAAGATATCCTCAACTCTTCAGCACTCAGTCGCAAATAGGGCTACAGCTAAGCCTGTCATATCTACTGTATTTGCAACTAATGAAATAATAGCAACAGTGGGGGAGCAATGCGTTTCATCCTCTACATGGCACCTGGATAGGCGTTGCTGTGGTGAATACCTAATCCACCGATCTAAATAAGACTCATTGCTCAGGCCACCAGAATCACCACAATACCATAGTGTTATAGGGCATTATTTTGTCTCATTAACCAGTTCATTTGCACCGAGAGTTCACCATACCTTTGTCAGCTCATTATTTTATTGTATGCCTAAATGACTCTCGGACTATGTATTGTAACCAACGCATGCGGAGAAAACGGTGTTATTTTAGGAGAGGTCAAACATTCCTGTCTAGCAACACGCTCCGTGATTGTGCGCTAGTCGTGTGGCTTAATCACATGCAAAGCAAGCAAGCAGCCATCCTGTCCGTTAATGAAACGAGTTTCAGTGTGAATTTCTTTCTTGCGTCACCTGACTATCCTGCCTGGCTAGGTACAGGAAACGAATGAACACAAACCCTCGAAAATCTTTCACTGAGACTGGCCAGAGCAAGGTGATTTTGTTTCTCAGTAGGCAGTTTCCTGTGACAGGCTGCACATTTGTTCATGTGTACACGTCACAGAAGACACCATCGTCTGCTAGACTTTGTATGCGTTACGCGATTGAACGATCCTTAAACCGCGTCATTTCTATCACAATTGCAGATGAATCTCCGAATAACATCCACAGTGTTTTGTTGACTCCATTTCGTAAGCAACAGCATGCACAACGTAGATAGCAACTTTGATTTCTTACGTCTGAATGGATAGGTGGGTCTGTTCTCGTGCATTGACTAAGCAGTAATCCAAGAGAATGTAAGAGAGCAGACGTTAGTGTAATACGATCTTATTAAGGCGCGTATTTCTTTTGAATTAACATCATAAAACCACCTACAGCAATCTCCATTGGAGCGAACAATGGAGATGTCAAATGGTAGAGAAATCTGAACTAGAGGAGAACTTTTACCTCAGAGGAGCAAAATTGCTGGTGTATTCGTTCACTAGGGAACATTGAAAAGAGTCACCGTATAGCAACTCTAGAGTCCGCAAGTTTCTGTGGAGTTCTTATTCCGTTTGTTGAGGCCACCGATTCTACTTTGTTATCAACTGAATAAATGTCTGACTCATCCAGATGTCTTTAGATTATGCAAATAGTTGTCCTCTACACGTAACACGCTAATCATAAGATTCTTGAAAGCTCTTCGGCAGCCTACGGCTGGTTCCATCATTCCTGGGGCTCATCAGGTAGGCTCAGTCCCCGACTAGCGGCTATGTTGAACGCAGTCCAATTTGTCCTTTTAAGTCCTCCATTATTTCTCGCTTGAACTGAGCATCGGGCCCCCATAAACACTGGTACCATTGACGTGGATGGAACAAAAATTACTCTAAGCTGCGTACCTTCCACGTTCTACTTCGATATCTCGAATATCGTACCGTATGAACCATGTGGTGGCCCTCATATGTAGTTTATTCAGCTAAATAATATAAAGAAGATTCAGCTGGAGTTCAACCAGGTCTGCCGTTAACACCAACTAATTTTGCAGAATGAGTGAATCTCGCCACTTGCGTACAATTTGCAATGAAGATAGAACACAAAGTTGATGAGGATTCGGGAACTGAACTTATCTGATGTATGGGTTGCCGAAGGGTTCTCAGCAACTCACAAGAGTGGTATGTTTTGTCAGAAAATAAACGCACTATTGTTCTAGAAAGCGGTAACTAAGTCCGCTCGGCAACAATACAGGAACTGGATAACAATATGCCAGCAGAAACGGTGCTTCGAGCCACAAGTTCTCGTATACAAATGCGGAGAACCCAAATATTCCTCTCTTCTGCAGCAGATTGATTCTGATGAGAATAGAGACTCAGCGATTGGATTTTTAGAATCAATTATTCAAACTTGTATTAGTGTGCTGGGTGCATTTGGGTTCATCCATAACTTTTCTCAGTAATCTTTGTGGTGCGACAGTCTGTTGGCTGTAATTCTAGTTATCCAGGGTCTCGCCTAATCAATGCAAATGGTTTTGGAGACAATATTAGAGTTCAAAGCGATACTAAGGTCGGATCGTTTCAGAATCTTATCAAAACATTTACAACACATCCACGGGTCACAAACTAGTTGTTCTAAAACAGTGTGCAACCCGCCGCAGTGCAATCGCTGTCTCGGTCTGAACAGCGTAATTTATACAGTTTACTACTAATTTACTCAATCGAAGCCACAGTCAAAGCGTCTACTGACTTAATGCCTTCATTACAACTGATTCTGGAACGAAATTCTAGTGACAACAATGTGGTCCAGTAACACGAAAAAAATTAATCGCTTCATTCTCAAAAATGTGGAGTTTGTGAAGCACCAAGCAACAGGGACTTGTGGTCGCGTAATCGATTTATCCCGAAGACACCTATTGAGTTATCACGTAGAACAGGTAAATCGTCATCCGCTGTTTTGACACGTCGGGCAGTGTTCCTAACGGAGCCGGAAACCTGAAGGATCCGACTGTTGAATGGGCTTGACAAAAGCTGTTTCCATAGTCTAGCGTATATAGTATTACACGGGAATACCTCACGTAGCAAATGAGTGAAAAATTCATACCTTTAACCGGGACACCGGGGAGGAAGAAACTCTCCCGGAGAGTTGATTTAATTTTGCCTAGAGTTGTGCCGATGAAATGGACTGTGTTCGGAATGTCGCCAAAAGACCGGTACCATAGACTGCATCTCTTGTTTCCCATCTGAAAACGT